TTTCAGAATGGGGGGTAATATCGACTTACACAATAATATTTTGGGGTAATGGTTAAAAAAGTTCCCCGACCGCTGCACTAGAGTGAATGTCGTGCGTGAATCTGACTAGGTTGTTTTACTGCGCGCTTTTGTCCTGAACGATTTTGTTAATGTGAGCCTTCGTCTGCACGCTTTTGTCCGGTCACCTCAGAAAATAAATAGTTTCTTCAAAACGTAGTTGCAAATAACTACATTCCCATTTACAGTCTCCCAAAAAAAAGATAACATAAGTTGAATGAATAGGACAAAAACAAATTGTTACATAAAACAATGAAATTTTTAACAATAAAATCAACATTCAAAATAATTGTTAAATAAAAAAAATAATGAATTTATTTAACTTTTGAAAATGAGTAACAACATACTCATTGTTGTAATTAATGTAATTTTAAGATTCACAAATTAATTAATCCACTTAAAAATGAGAATAAAGAACTATAGCTTATTAAAATTAAGAAATAATCAATTCATGTAAAGGTAATTGGTTTAAAGTACTTTCATTGTTACATCTATTATTTAATATTATATAATCTTATTAAAATGTTGGCAAAGTAGTAAAACGTAATTGTATTTCACTTTTGCAGTTAAACGAAAATGTAATCATAGATGCTGATCATAATTCGAGCGTGTTATGTAATTAAACCGATGGAATAGTTAAAAACAAAATGAAATGAGCATAAGAAGTAATGATTAAAGTTGGCTGCAAACGTTTCATGGACCAATCCCAAGTCTTGTCTTCGCATCTGCATCATCCACGTAATGAAATGTTTTACATATTTAATATATCCGTGCAGCCCAGGGCATCTAAATAATTGGGATAAATCCAACAGCGTAAAATGATCTTTTCCTCTTTTGCAGAGTTCAATCTTGTTTTCCCATCTTCTAGTGAAAATAGTGAATACGTTTTCTATCTATATATACTTAGAAATACCTCGCATAGTACTGCTTTATTCAGTACGGATTCTTTATATTCCGATTAGAAAATTATTAAAAAAAAAAACTAAATTAATCGAGAACTTAAAAATTTTAGTACAAAAGTTCTTTTAAATCAATTTTATTTCTGTTATTACTTAGTTCCTCGATTAGTGCGGTTTCATGTTATTTTTACTGATATTGTTATAGGTGTTCGAACTTAATTCATATTTTAGAAATGTTCGAAAACCGAAATTATTTATTTTTTTGTAAAATGCGTAATTTGAAAGAAACCAATGAAAATGCATAAAAATAAACAATATAATAATAACATTCCTATTTACTCATATTGTTTTAGTGTCGAACATAATTCATTGTTAAAGTCGTAAACCAAATATGTTTTTTCGTCAAAAGGTTAAGTCATTTTTTTAACAGTGATTTGTGTATAAAATTAAAGAAATTAATCAAAATGCATACAAAAAAAAACTTAAATGAATTATTTAATTCTTCGATTAGTCCGGTTTCAAACAGTGCGAAACCGATGCACTGTACTTAAGTTAGAGTTTGGATAATTTGCAAATTTTATTTAACAATCTTGTATTTCTATGTATGTATGTGTGTGTGTTGTTGTGTACAAACTTCGAACAGTTTTAAAGAGCAAATCGTGTAAAGTAATCGGTGAAATCATCCGATGAAAGTGAATTATTATGATTTATACCGTTTTCTTTCTTCGTTTTGTCTGCGCAATTTTTGCTGTTGCTGTTGGTTGCTTACTTACCTTCCTTTATATCTATCTACGAAATGCAGTTTTCCTGTGTGAACTCTTTCACCTGCCTCTTTCACGCCGTTGCCTCCAGAAACCGAACTTTATTTGGACATAATGGATTCCGCCTTCTGCACCTATCCGATCATCATTATACGATGCAATCATCTGCACTTTCTTTTGCGAAATTATAAACTATACTTAAATCTCACCAAATTATCTAATTGATACAATATTATTACGTAAACAATAAAAAAATAAATAAAGTATAAGTTAGTTAGGACCTTCAATTTGTGAAACATTTAAAATCTTCCTTAGTAGTATTTTAGTACTCTTTTTTACTGCAGTAACATTAAAGTACTCGTATTAATACAACATCCATGAAGTCATATAACAAATTAAAGTTAACCAACGTCTGCTAAGGACAATTATTTGAATGGATGATTAATACAAATCTTTATACTATTCATATCAATACAACATCTTGACTGAAGGTCTTTATGATCATATAACAAACTAAAGTGAAACAACATCTGCTTAGGACAATACATGAATGGTTGATTAATACAAATCTTTATACTACTCATATCAATACAAAATCTTGACTGAAGGTCTTTATTATCATATAACAAACTAAAGTGAAACAACGTCTGCTTAGGACAATACTTGAGTGGATGATTAATACAAGTCTTTATACTACTCATATCAATACAACATCTTGACTGAAGGTCTTTATGGTCATATAACAAACTAGAGTGAAAGAACATCTGCTAAGGATAATTATTTGAATAGATTTTAGACCACGCATACAACATGTGTTGAAGATATTCTTAAAATTTTATAATTTAATTTGCAAAATTTTCATATTTTTTGTTCAATTCTAGTTCTTTTTTAATGACTAATAATTGAACTAATTACAATTGTGAACTATTTTAAATCTCCTTTTTCTCCTGATTATTGAAAAAAAACATCAATTTTATTTATATTTTCTTTAATTACGCAACAGCTTTTATCGTCAATACTTAATCTCTCATCATCGACATCCGGATCAAAAGAAGTAACTGCATTAATCGACTTTTTCTTAAACATAATTCAATATTTACTATAATTATATATTTTTTTTAAAACATTACCTATTACGATGAAATTGCATACTTCGTAATTGAATATGCAGAAGGAAATTGAATATTTAAATTATCAATTATTATGCAAGAGCAAACAGAAAAAACGACAGATCATTAAACAAAGATTAAATCGTATTATTTTCAGTAGCTTTAAACATATTTATATATATATTTTGTTGCAATACGTTACGTAACGAAACGTTCATTTCGTTCTATGTCGGATCCTTTTTAAGCATACAATTTCTTGCGCAATTCCATCTGGCACTTTGTTTCGTACAGAATAAAATGGCAATAAACGTGGATGAAAACAGGTCAACTGAGAAATCTAGTGGACGGGAAAAGAAAAGAAAAAAATTAGCAAAATTTAAGTCTTATATAAATATTTGATTAGTAATAAAAGTCTTTTTTTTTGCTAGCAACAAATAAATTGTAAAATTGAGCACGTAAATTGTCGTGATCGTAAAATGTGTTATTATATATAAATAAATCACTTTATTTGTTTGAATTAATTCACAGTCTTCTTTTATATAAAATTTATGTTAGATAAAATATCGTTCTATTTGACCTTAAAAAGTGTCTATTCAAGTAACTTCCCTAGCAGATGTTGCTTAACTTTTGTATAAGAAGACCATCAACTATGCATGTTATATGAAGAATAGTGGTCTAAAGACTTGTATTAGTCATCCATTCAAAACATATCTTATTTAACTTTTGTTTTGTGATCTTCAACTATGGATAATGTATGAATAAAAGTATTATAAAGACTTAGTATTTAATTAAAATTCCACAATATTTGTTCGGAGATAGCGAAGGGAAGAGTAGAGAATAACAGATCATAACCTAACCTGACCAAGCTATAAACGAACTCCATGAGTACCAAAGATTGATGTTATTAAAGCACAATAGAAAGCCATCACTGATAATTAACTGGAATTATGTTAAACAGCATCATTTAGGTCAAACCAATAAAAATACATTATGGACTTGAAAATCTATAGAATTTGTACAAAAATTACTATTTTTTTATAACAAAAAGCTTCATTTGGATTATTATAATTATTAATATAATTAAAGATGGTGTAAATCTAAAATTGAAGTTTTCATTTAATTTTGGAAAATGTCCTTGAATATTTGTTGAAAGTAATAATTATATATTTGTTTAATTAATTGTTTCTTTAATTATTGTATTTCTGGTTTAATTTAATTAATAATTATTTGATAAGAAAGTAAACGAAATTTTCGGAATGATTAACCTGAATTGAAGATTGAAAATAGAAGAATGTTACCAATTATGTTTATCGCCCAATAAAATCCGATCCGGTATAGAAAACCAATAAATGCGGCAAGTGTAAATAGTTAAGAGTTATGGAAAGAAATCTAAAATGACTTTCTTGTTCTGATTTATGTCCCCCGTTGGAAATTGGCGTGAGGCCATAAAACCATAATTATATTGAAGAATCCAATAGTCTCCCTATATTTGTATTGTTTCGTTCTTTTCTCCATTCCGAATGCAAAATAAACGCAGAATGCAATAAGTGTAACGACCTTTTGCTCTATGCAAATCCAGGAGTTATGCCATTCATGCATCCACTTCTTCCTATGAATAAGTGTGGAATAACAATGCAAAATGCAACTAACACTACATCACAGAGCCCGAGACGGAGCCACTTCATTATCGTAACTGAAGCTGTAGACCTCTAGAAAGAATGGCGAGGGAGGAAAGAACGAAACGAACAATGATTAATTACTGGGCAATTTGAATAATAACTAACCATTTTTCTTTTCTTTATTGTTTCAGGTAAGACGAGAGAAGAATGGAGCGCTTCCGATATTTCGCTAATGAATCGCGGTTCCGGATCTTGATAAAGTCGGTAATTAAGGATTAATAGCGCAGAATAAGATTAAAAATTAAGAAATTGTAGAGTATTTTAATGAAATTACTTAAGCGTTAGCTACAGCTGGAATAAGATCGGTGTAGATCTCTATGGCTCTGAGGAAGGTGTCCTTTCTGATATACTCATCGTGGTCGTGGAGAAGGATTGGGGTATTGTTGATCAAAGACAGTCCTAAAGCTGGGATACCTAATCTTCTTAGGTAACGGCTGTCTGTGACTCCTGGGAAGATCAGCGGAGATACTCGTATGTTCCTAGGAGGTTGGTTATTAATTAGTTGGTGTTTTTGTCGCTTCAGTTTACTTACAATTTGTGCATAGTTGTTTCGATTGCTGTCCAATAAATGTTGCTCGAGTCTAAAGTTGTCGGCTGTGTTATCGAGTCAAAGATCAATTTTTCTATCCAAACACCTTGACCAGCTTCTTTGCACCAACTTTGGAGGGTGGCCCAAAATCCATCTGCATCTACTGTATACGGCATTCGGACGTCTACTGTGATGGTGTGTTCATCAGCTAAAACATTGGCTTGTACTCCTCCCTGAAAAATTACATATAAATATTTAGATCTATACTAAATCTATATCTAGAATCCAAACTTGACTTGATTCTTGGCTCAAAAAATAAGACTATAGTAAAAAACTTTTAAAGAAAAATTGTATATAGATTACCTTAATTATTGTAGCATTCAATGTGATGACATCAGCTAAAGTCAAATCTGGATTTTGCTTCAACTTATTCTTCTGAACTTCTCGATGATCGTAGATTTTATCCAAGATCACCCTAACTTTCTCAGCAGCAGTATTCTCATGCAAAAGGCACCCATGTCCTGGTTGTCCTGGGCAATGGAACTTCAAATCTTCAAGAAAACTAATCATAAACTTTCAAACCCCTTAATCTTACATTAGAACTTACGCCACATGCACTTCTCTCCTTTAAACAACGTGTAGCTATCATTAACGCTAGCAATACCCTCATCCAAAGCAAACCCTATATTCATGTTCTTGAAATCTTCAGTCTTCACGAACTCGGCCATTCCGAGAACACCTCCGATCTCCTCATCAGGAACGAAGGAGCAATGCAACGTTCTCTTCAACCTTTTTCCACTATCTTTAATCCTTCTAATAGTTTCCATGTATTGGATGGAAATACTCTTCATGTCTTGAGTTCCACGACCGTAGATCTTTCCATCCACAATTTCTGCTCCGAAAGGTTTTTGCGTCCATTTGTCGGCGAAGACAGGAACCACATCCATGTGACCATTGAGTAAAATCGATGGTAAAGTCGGATCCGTTCCTTCTAAAGTTACCACTACGATTGGTCTCTTCGGTTTCGGATAAATTACCTTGCATGGTAATCCTATATCATTTGCGAGCTTCTGAATGAACTTAACGCATTCATCTACAAATAACATACGATTTTATAAGATTATTTAAACCTGTAACCTTGAGTTTTCGTTTTGAGATAAGAGTTTATAAATATAGAAAACTTAATTTACAATCATAAAATTATAAGTTTCTGTTACAATTTTAGTACACAAACACTTTTCGTTATAATCATTGAAAGAATTTTTTAACAGATTTTAAAATTTACATTAATTGTTTTTGATCTAAATTCAAGAATCCCAAATTATGTAACACAAATTATTTTTAATTGTTTTCAGTTAGTATTATTTTTTTTTTACTGAAAATGTTGAATAGAAAATTTCAAATTTTTCTTTTCTGCTTGAGTAGATTACAAAAAAAATATGTAATTTACCGTAGTCTATGTCTGGTTGAACACTGGGTATCCTCAAGTATTCCTGGAAATTCTGCACGGCCACCTGGTCGTACCTCTGTTTGTCGGTCGGATTAATGGTGAGGAACATCTTTTTTTGGCTCCGTCTGGACCGTTTTTTTCGTATACCTTCTTCGGTGTTTCGGAGGTAGCAGCTCTGACCTGCACTTTGTTTGCAGATGGAATAATCGGTAGGAGGCAACAGATGTATATTTATACCTTCAAAAACATGCGAGTGGGAGAGCAGTCTTCTATTTTTCTACCACAATTTTTATTATTTTGGAATAGTACAGAAAACTCTTAATCTATTTGCGTACATCTTCATCTCAGTCATCACATCTAACTCGAACGTTATTGCAATATTTTCTACGTTTATAGTATCTTATCATATGCATAATAATCTCAGAAACTGAACATTTTATTTGTTTCATTTACAAGTAGTTTTTGTTTATTAACTATCATTAATTAATTTAACAATCCATTTTTATAATATCTTAATTGTTAATTTATTAATATAAATACACCAAAACATACATTCTAACTGTCTACAAAGTAATAACATTTTGTTTAAAATTTACTTTCGTTACATAAATATTTAATAAGAAATGTAAAACTAATTAAAATTTAGTTTTTTACATCACTTTTTATATAAATATGAATGATTTTTTCTTTAATTATAAAATTTAATTAAAAAATAGTAATTTTTCCTTTATTTTCAATTAATTATTTTGTTTATATTTTTCAACGTTCTATTAAATATAAGGAACAAAGATTTTTATTGATTTTTTACTGAAAATATTGAAAAAAAGATAAATTGTACACATGTGAGTTTAGAAAGTTACTTTCGTTTTGTTTTCATGATTAATTTAGAAAATGTAATGTATTTCTAATATGAAACAAATTACATAAGAAAATTGATTGTAACATAACAAAATTGGCATTAGTAAAAGACATAATTTTATAATTACGTTGAAAATTTCATAGAACATTAGTTATTTAGTTTCATAACTTTCGTTTCATTTTCATGATTAATTTAGAAAATATAATGTATTTCTAATATGCAACAAATTACATAAGAAAATTTGTCTTAACATAACAAAATTTGTTTTATTGAAAGTCATTATTTTAGTTGATTTATTTGAAAATTTCATCGAAGGAAATTTAGGAAATTGTATAAGAACTAAAGCTTACGCAATTTCCTGACTTTTCGTTTTGTTTTCATGATTAATTTCGAAAATATTATATATATCTAATATGCAAAAAAAAAACATAAGAAAACTATCTTAACATTACAAAAATCGTAATGGAACATTTTTGGTCGATTTATTTTAAACTTATTTTTGGCAGTTTCATAACTTTCGTTTTGTTTTCGTAATAAATTTAGAAAATATTATGTATTTCTAATAAGCAAAAATGTTAGTCTCAAAAGATTAGAATTTTTTAGTATGCGATTTTTATAAATTTTAATCAAAAAAGTGATTTTTTAGTAGAAAATTTATGAAATATTGGTAAATAAAAATATAAAAACAAAGAAATTGTTATTTTTGTAATACAAATTTTCTCAATTTTCATAAATTTTAATGTAAATATGAAAATATTTGTAAAACAAATCAAAGTTATGAAATTTGATCATTTTTCATAATTGTGTGGAGTTTTATTTATAAATCAATAAAAAATTGAACACATAAATCAATTTGTATTTTCTACAATTACATAAGAAATTTCACATAAATAAAAGAAGTTATAACTTAATAAACGTATAGAAAACTAGTAAAATAATGTGTTTAATGTAGTAATAAATATTGGAACAAATTGATAAATTTTTTATTAATAAAAATATAATTAAATCCTAGTTAAATTGTACATGTGTGAGTTTAGAAAGTTACGTTAATTTTAAACTCTAAAAGAAAAAACATTTATTTTTTCATCACTTTTCATAAAAATGTTACTTTTTGGTCGTGAGAATAAAGGAAATGCGTGCATCTAATCTAATTGCATCTTTACTATAGTCTTTTGAATGCATCGTGATTGATTAAACCTCGACACAAGAACCCAATGAATAACCAATCTCCAATATTAGAAATCAGCTTCACAAAAAAAACATATTTTGATTAACAATATTTAATTTATATTGAAACTATGAAATTAAGTTTCCTTCTAAGCTGTAAATTTCAACTAATATGGGTTTTATAAATGGAAATTTGCCTGAAGTAATTAGTATAATTTATAGATTTTTCTGAAAAATGTTACAGTTTTTGTTGTTGTTGTTGTTCTAATCCAATCTCTCTATTCAAGGTATTGGATATTAAAGTGCATAGTGATTTAGAGCTCTCTGATCTGAGGTTAATACTGGTAATATTATCATTGATTTCTTTATTTCCTCGTGTTTATGTATGTGGTTTGAAAGTGTAAAATGGCAAAAATCTCCTCTGGCAAAGTGAACTATTTATATGTAAATTATATGTGGTAACCTTTGCAGAGGAATTACGAAGAGGTAATAAAAAAAACAGAACTCATGGTATAATGGGCGGCTTAATACGTAAGCTTCGGAATCCGTTGGAATAGATTGGATGTGGATGTTTCTCTCTGTCTTTCTGCATTGTCGATAATAGTTATTTAACCTTACAACAAAACAGTACCAGATCACAATAAAATCACGATTCGCGCCAAAACGTTGGTTAGCTGACCATGACAATATGCATCGGAGAGCAATGAATGGGCTTGGATCCAGAGGAGAGGCTTTTCGAACAGAACAGAAGAAGAAAAAAAACAATAACAACAACAACAGCAGATAAATGAAATGATGTTGGTGAAATAAAAACACCTGGTCTGGTTGTTATGGACTGCAACTGATTGTAAACACAGCAAACATTCCTATTACGACAGAAAAAGGCGGTGCCTTTCGTATACATTACCATCTATTAGTTTACTTCTATTCGCAGTTTATTTTCTCATTACCAATTATATTTATTTTATAACATAATTATTATAGAAAACATTAGAAAAGTCATGATTTTCAAGAACTCTATAAATCAAATTTTTTATTTCACTTTACGAATTCCCGTTTTACGAATTTGTAGTGTAACACATCTAGAATACTCCTTCCACACTATTCGTGACAAGTGACATAAATGTCAATCAGATGTATCGACTACTGTCAAATTGCTGTCAATAGGTTATATTAAATGTGTAACAAATGACATAAATGTCAAATAGATT